CAGTTTCTTCTTGAATTTTAGTTTGCATCTGTGATTTCACTAGTATACTTGAACAGAAAATTCCCTCTGCCAATGCATGCCTGAAACCGTTCCATAACTCAGTCTTGGACAGCTGCCTGGGACTCTGACAGATGAAGACTTGTCCAGAGTCACTGAGTCAGGGTGCGTCACAGGAAAGACTTGAATTCATGTCTTCCTGATTCCAAGGCAGGCTCTCTATCCGCTGCATCACATTGCCTCCATTCTTCTTACTCTTACATTGAAAATTTGATTGAAGCCAGGGGGATTTCATCAGGGTGGCAGGTCTCTCCATAGCTGCAAATCACACCTTTTCCTCCCCCAACATAGCTTCATCCTGTGTGACTCCAGTAAATTTCTCCCACACGTGTTATTTTAGACAATGTTCTAACAAGTGTGGATGTATGGCTTCTTAGCCTTCAGCAAACTGGGAAGAGATGGTGAGGACTGTCACAGGCAGATACACCAACAACAGTAACACAATGGAAATAAGATGGGGTCAGTGGGGCAGAAAGAGTATAAAAATCCAAAATGCACATCAGCTTGCAGGACCATTTAGCATAGAGATAAACAGTTCTACCGACCTCAAAAGCTCCAGTGTTAGAGCAGAATTTACAATTTTCCAGAAGAATGTAAGCTCTCTGGGGCAAAACCTGCTTCCCATTTGTGTTTGTATGCCTATTGCTTCTTCCATCAACATTGTCCTCCAATGCCCAATTGTGGCATGGAATTGACCCTGGGATCTCATAGGCATGCCATTAAGGGGATATACTTTGCACTTAGTAGGAGGGAATAAAAATTTATTAAGCACCTGGGATGTGCCAGACATAGTATTAAGAGCTTTACAACTATTATCTCATTTGATCCTCACAAATAGCCTTGGGAGATAGGGGCAATTATTATCTCTGTTTTATAGTGGAGGAAACTGAGGCAGAGGTTAAGCGACTTTCTCAGGATCACACAGCTAATAAATGTCTGAGGCTGGATTTGAACTCAGGTCTTTCTGACTCTAGGCCCAGCATTCTATCTAGTATGCCACCTAGCTGCCTCTCCATAGTAGGTATTTAATCAAACTTTGTTGAATTTAATTTAATCTGGAAATCTCACTTAAATAGAATAACTGATCCTTTGCTGACGTTGAGTCAGTAAGATATTACTGTAATTTTCTAATTATATTGTTTAAAAAAATAGCTAAGATATCAAATACTCCTTATGACAAGGAGCACAAAAATAAACTGGGGTTGGAGAAGGATGGTGAATGAGGGGGAAGGGAAGCATGTAACTTTTCCTCTAGTTCTAAGGTCTACAGCTTGATGATTATAAGTTTTTAATGCTTTCTCAAACATCTGGCCTTTCAAAGTATATCACTGTCAATCAGTCCAGATGTGCAGGAGCCTTGCTGTTCCAAGACATAACAGAGGAAGATGGAAAGACAACCAATCCTCAACAACAGCCTCTACTCTTTTCTTCATCCACCCCCATTTTCACACCTTTCTTCACACTACCCCATATGCCTAGAACAGCCTCCCAATTAATTCTGGCCCAGCTCCTTCTCTCTTGTCCTTCAGAAGTGTTGGGGGGTAGGGGGAGGTGTTGGAACCCACCTGTTCCATGAGGGGCTCTAAATGCAGTGGCTCACTGCCAATTTTTTTTTATCTTCTCTGTTATGGATCTGCCCACACACTTCAGGGGAACATTCTTGGTAACAGTGCCCTGTGATTTTGTGATGATTCCAATTTGTAGTTTGTTGTTTTTGTTCAGTCATTTAGTTGTGTCCAACTCTCTGTGACCCCATTTGGGGTTTTCTTGGCAAAGATGCTGGAGTAGTTTGCCATTTCCTTCTTCAGCTCATTTTACAGATGAGGAAACTGAGGCAAACAGGGTTAAGTGACTTGCTCAGGGTCACATAGCTACTAAATGTTTGAGGTCACATTTGAACTCAGGTCATACTGACTCCAATGCCGGTGCTCTATCCACTTTGCCACTTAGCTAGTCTCTCTGTTATTATAGAGAATGTTAAAGGGCTATTGCATTTGTGTATGTGTGTGTGTGTGTGTGTGTGTGTGTGTGTGTGTGTGAATTCATGTGTACCTTCTTGTTTTTGTAAGGCAGATCTGCTGCCTTTGAAAAGGCGATATAATTATTTACATCTAAAGAACAAGGACATGGTAGAATGTTCATCTGGTTTGCATGTCAGCTGGAAAACCCCCAAATCTTATTTACATAGCACTTGTCTTTAAGAAGCTTAAAACACTTAATAATTATAACCCTGTAAACAAATTCTCCAACATTCCACTGAGGAGAGGGAGGTTTCTCACTGCATCTCCAGTCTGTGAGTTCCAAGGTAGATGAAAATATTTGCAAATGGTCTCCAGATTAAGTGGTCCTCAGCTGTTGCACCAAACCTATGGGCTGTTTCTTTAAAAGCTTTCTAATAAATGCATGTAACACCTGAGGACTCAGTTTCTCGATGAGAAAATTGGTCTTCAAAATCATGCTGGTCGTTTCAAAGAAACTCCCAACCCTGAGAAGTCTTTGTGTCCCTGCTGTCAAAGGGGCACTTGTCATGGCAAGTGACAAGTGACTTGAGCATCTCTTTTTATTTCTTTATCTGCAGCCTTGGGAACACTCGGTGCTAAACAAGGGATCTACAGTGAAAAGTAAGCCTAGGACCCAAGCACAAGGAAGAGATGGTTGCAACTGTCTCATGATTCTTCCTAAAATTTACAGTAAGTCTGAAAAGCCCCCATCCATGGGCGGCAGGCACACTCACCCCCTTTACAGTATTCGCAGACTTTCTGGAAATAGCTTTTCAATTTTTTTTTGTCAGTAGAATTCAATGAAGCTACCGACACACTTGTCCACAGTGCTTACCCCTCCATTGTCAATCCTACTGGTATTTCAAAAGAAATGTCATTTCAGTGTTGCACAGTCTTCTGTGCTTAACTCACCAGAAAGTTGTTCTGTAAACACTGTTTGATGTGGAGGAGTCTCACTAGCCCCTCTTAGGAAACCTTTCAAACCCATTTTTCCCTCAGAAGAAGGAAAGAGCATTTCCCCCATCCCTGGAAAAAGACACAGGCAGCCACCCCACAGATGCAAATAAGAAGCTGCAAACCCTCCAGGTTCTAGTGCCTTTCAAACTTGGCAAACACATTGCTTGCCTGAGTTGAATTTTTTAAAATGTCATTGAGGGGGGAAAAGACAATGAGAGATAGAGACAAGCTAAGCAAAGAAGGCCAAGGCTGCAAAAAAACAAGAGATAGAGGCTCAGATGCGATGCTCAGCCCTGGAGATTTGAGGGGGCCAAGGGCAGATTGAATTTAGGCTCTTCCTGGCTTCTCCCAGATGCCCTTCAGCCTCCACACCACTACAATAAGAACCATTTGGGGGGGGGCGCTAAAAGTCCCCTATTTTAAGTACAGAAGTCTTGACTATTGTAGCATTGTAAAAATAGCTTCTGTACACTTAACCAAAGTCAAGTTGTCTTTCAAAAGATCTCCAGGCTTAGAGGAATATGTATTTAGGATCAACAGAGTACATTCTGGGATTTCAAGCATTTATAAAGACATCTGACTTCACTAGATACATAGAAAATTGGCATGCTGCGTCTACATATATTTGTATATATTACGAGACCAAAACTCTTCTGTCTTTAGAGCAAATTCCCCCAGAGGCCTGTAACTCCATATGTTTGCATGCACATGCTATTTCTTGGGTTTGTATAAGGGTCATGCTTTATAACATCCCTTAGGCATACTTGAATATTCTTGATAGTTTCCCCTTTATCATTAAACCTCTGTGGATTTCAGTATTCTCAGCCCTTACTCACAGAAGGTCAAGGTACTTCACTGGCATTATCTCACTCATCCCTTACTATTTGCTCCTGTACTAGGTGGAGGCAAGCATTACTATGTGCATTTCATTCAGGAGGAAACAGGGAAGGGAAGCTTAAATCTTTTTCCCCCTCACAAAGCCTGCCTAGGGTAGAGAGTAGGGCTTAGGGAAGGGAAGTCTGGAACAAGGGAAACAGTTTTCCCCATACAGTATCCCCTTTGTATGTTAGTGTAGCTGTGTCTGTCTGTCTGTCTTTCTCAGTACACCATTTGCTTACTTGTTGCCATTTATATTATTTGCGTTCTCTGGTGCCTAAAGGGAGACTGGTTTCCATTCTAATTGCTGGAATTAATCTCACAGTCTAATTACAGCATAAAACTATCAAATGGCCTTGGGCTCCTTTTTTCTTAATTCCCTGCTGATCTTGATAAGAAGTTAGATTTCCAAGGGGCAATGGGGATATGTCCTCACGCCAGGCTGGCTTCCCCCACTACTTGGAAGCAGTCCTGACAAATCTTCACTGCCAGCTCCTGGTACACATTCCAGGTAGGAACAGAAGTACTTGCCCATCACAGCCGCCCTAGCCCTCTAGAGATAAAACACTTGTCATTTCCAGCTTGTAGCAGAGATGACTCCAGGTAAATGGTCAGATTATTGAAGATCACAGATCCTTCTCTTTCTGGGTAAACAGAAACTCTAAAGCATATGGCCAAGCAGTTGCATCTGACCCTCAGCAGTCATTCTTATCATTCTGCAGCTTTCATCTAAAGATCCCAGATCACCATTTCTCACAACCACCTGGAGAAAATGTGTTTTTCTCATGGGAAGAATTGCTAGAGTACATGTATACCTTTGTAATTATGGAAGGTAAAGGGGCTCAGGGAGCCCCAACTTCACAAGCCAAACAAGAAAGAGAACCTCAGAAAGTTGGCTTTCTGAATCATCTTCTCATAATTCCATATGACACTTGTTGTTTGATAAGTATTTGATTCTATATTAAAACAAGCAATGACAACAAGATATGTATTCTTGATCTAATCCTGAAGTTTCATTTTATATAGAAACATGAACCAAAACACACATATGCTGGGAGACCCAGACTGCCCTTAATGTCTTCCTCTCCCACCCCAGGTTGAGCAGCTTACCCTTGACTGACAGGTGTCTCCATGTCACGGTGGGCTCCGGTCTGCCAATAGCAAGACACAGGAGGGTCACGCTACTTCCCTCATTCACAGTGATGTCTGAGGAGATGTTCATAATCTGGGGAGGAACTGAAAAAAGAGAAAAAGAGTGAGCAAGTGTTCCTGGGAATGGCCCTTTGAAGACATAGACGTGAATAAGCACCCAAGAAAATATTCATAGAGCATTTAAAAAATTATACACCATGGGCTGGGTCTGGAATTGATAAGGAGGGGTTGGGTTGTCTTGGATTGTGTCTGAGAAATTGCAAAGTGCTTTCAATGATCTCACAATGATGCCTTTGCAAAAACTTATCTCTTTAACACCAGTATTCTCCCAGAGATTCTACAGAGATGTGAATCCTAGAACACCATGATCTTATAAGAATTAAAATGGCAAACAACTAGAGGAAACTAGGGGAAAATATGCATGTTGGAAGAAGCAATATATAGCATGTGGCCGATGGCCACTTGAAGGCATAAAGAATATTACCGATGCCTGTCCTCAGTAGAGAAGAGACAGGCTAATTAAATAGTGAGGATGACAAACAGCTGAAGTAACATATTGGCACCCCTCTAATACTAAAAGAACAAGAGGAAAACCTCCAACATGTTGAGTAGACCTTTATGGAGATTTTATGGTAAAACATAGACAAGAAACACATATGATGAAAAGGTATAGATAGATTTCAATCACTGTTGCTAGAGGAAGGACTTAAATGGATGAAATCACATTTTTTAAAGTACCAAATGAAGTATTTTTATTGTTACTATTAATTCTCCAGTGTAATAGACTATGCCAAGAATATGAATTCGCTGAACATTTGCTTTTACCAAGTTCCACTTGAGGCAAATCTTTCCACTTTGATTTATAGCAAATGCAAAGGAAATTTCATACATGATACTTGCCCTCAAAAAGCTTACAGTTTTAAAGTGACGCAAAGCAAATTGCATAGAAAACAGTTCCAAAGATGTATAGATATAGATAGATATGTCTATCTATACCTATCCATCCATCCATCCGTCCATCTATATCTAACATCTCTCTCTCTCTATCTATCTATCTATCTATCTTGCCTCATTATGAAGTTCCCCAAATTTCTTCTATTCCTGAAAAGCATTGAACCCAGCTGGAAACCACCATAGCTTTCCTCCTTCCTCATGTTTCAGATTCTCCCGTCACCGGCTCACCCTGACCCCCCTTAACCCTTGCTTCCCATTCTGCTCCTGTGCTAAGTGGTGGCAAGGGTTTGGTGGAAGAGAGAGGCATCATGGTGTAGCAGATAGAATTGCTGGACTTGGTGTCAGTAAAACCTGGTATCAAATCCTGCTTCAGAAACTGACTAACTTTCACCTTAGGAAAATAATTTAAACTCTCTAGGACTTAGTTCATTATCTGTAAAAAGATAATGTTGGACTTGATGGATTCTGAGATCCCTTCTAGTTCTAAATCTATGATTGACTTCAAAGGAGAGGAGGTGAGTGCCCCCCCCACACACACCTCTAGTTACCACTGCTCCCATTTCCCTACCCCAGGGCTTCCCACTTCTGCTAACTTTGGCAATATTCTGCATATCTTCTTCACATTCCCCATTTTCTGTCTCAGTTCCCTATTCTCATTTCCAATAACTTACGTACTGGTACTCCCCACATACTTCTGTACCCCTACTCCTCACTTTTTATCACCCAGATGCTGACAATATCTTTTACATGGCCACAACCAGTGCGTAGGAGCTGAGGAAATACCAATTCCATTGTGTCATAGGTGGTAGAGGTGAAATGGGAATATGTATGTGAAGCATTGCTTCCGTGTTCAGGAATATAACAGAGAGAAGTATACTCTCGGCATGCCAATTTGGGATTCTGAACCCATTTTTCCAAATAGAAACAATATTATAAATAATGGTTAGGTACTACAAAATTGTCGAGTACACTATTGTTTAAAGAATTTTAAAGACTAATCTCAGAACATATTTAATTCCAATAAATAATTTGTTCAGCATCTTTTGTGCAGAACATTATCCTCGGCACTGGGGAAGATACATACATAGAACCCCTTCCCTCATGGACCTTACCATATAATGGGATGTATATAAAGATAACTATAATACAAAATCACACATAAGAGAGTTGGAAGCAACATGATGCATTGGAAAAAATGGATTTGGTATCTCAGGACCTGAGTTTGAATCTAAGTTATGCTCCTTATTATCTATATGACCTTGTACAAGACATTTGTATTGGGGATTTAAAGGATACATGAGAATTCAACGTGTGTGTGTGTGTGTGTGTGTGTGTGTGTGTGTGTGTGTGTGTGTAGAGAAATTCCAGGAATAGGGAATAGCATAAGAAAACACATGGAGGTGGCAAAGTATGTGTGGGATGGTTGTTTATGGGAGAGGACTAGTAGTTTAGTTGGTGTATAAAGTGAGTTAAGGAGAACTGTGTGAAAAAGGGATTTGGTCCCATGACAACCCTGATTCTCAGATAAAAAAAAAAAAAAGACACAACTGGCACTTCTTTCCAAAAGAGGATGCTGTCTTGGCATGGGAGCCATGTAAGCAGAGTCATTCTGCAAGTGCCTAATATTTCCCATTTTGCTTTTTCTGCCCTTCCAAAAACTCTTTCTCAACTCCCTTAGTACATGGAATGGATACTGCTAATCCTGCCTTATTGCTCCCACTTTGCCTGTCAGATTTCCAGGTCTAGTGAACTTAAAACTTTAGGTAACATTGTTAGCAACTCAATTGCAGAATTTATCTGGTGTTCTCTCTTGGATCAGTTCTCTACCCACCCTAACCCTCCCTTCTGCCCCCACCCTCCCTCAGCAGCAGTGTTATCCTCTCTTGTTTTTGTCCTCAAATACCTGACAGATGTCTGCCCAACCCTCCTTAGGATCATGAGACTGGAAACATTGCCAGATTCTGGAGGGTCTTGAAAACCTAATAAAAATCACATGAACCTTGGTAGAAAAAAAAAAATTAAAACCCAGGAAATCATTAAAAGGTTTTTACCAGCGGAGTAACATGGCTTGAAGCATGCATAAAGAAAAGTATAGCAGCAAAATGAAGGATAGTTTCGAGGGAGTAGATGAGGGGAAAAGTTCTTGATAGAAGGCTCTTTGAATAGTCCAGCGGGTGTAGGTGGGTGTGTGTGGGGGGTGTTATTGAGTGACTGTCCCAGCATAGTGGCAGGGGGAATAGAGGAGGAAATATATTTGAGAGATATTGTAGAGATAGAATCAATAGGACTTGGCACATGATTTGATATGACAGGCAAAGGAGAGAGAAAAGTGAAAGATAGCACTAAGGCTTTTAATAAGGGAGAGTGAATAAATGGCAAGGCCACTAACAGAAGGGTAAAGTCATAGGAAGGAGGAGGTTTTAGGGGGAAAGCAATGGACTCAGATTGCCAAAGTAGCCACTTGCAAATACTCTTTTAGAATGCAATCTATACAATGGAGGTTGCCTGTATTAGTAATCAAAAATTAATATAAAGGAAACCATATCCCTAAATGAGGACATGTTCAGAATTATTGGAGCCAGATAGGGAAGCCTCATGAAGATGAGTTGTGAAGGGGTACACGTGGCTAGACTTTCTCCTTTTTGGATCATGTTGTTATTATGCCAACGTACTGCAAGGGGCTGGCTTACAATACCAGAATGAGAGGGTTTTGTCAATCATTTGTTTGGAGGGAAGTCAGTCAGTAAATAGTAACTATTTGTTAAAAGCCTACTATGTGCCAGGCACTGTGCTAAATGTTGGAAGCACAAAGAAAGGCAAAAGACAATTTCTGTTTTCAAGGAGATTAAAGTCTAATGGAAGAGACAACATAAAAACAACTATGTACAAACAAAAAATATGCAGGGTAAATTGGAAACAATCAAGAGAGAAAAGGCTTAGCATTAAGGGGAATAGAGAAGGTTTCTTATAGAAGGTGGGATTTTAGATAGGACTTGAAGGAATCCGGGAGACAGAGATGAGATGACATGGGAGAGCATTACAGGGATGGGGGACAGCCAGTGAAAATACCCTGACTTGGGAGATGTAGTTTCTTGTTCAAAGAACAGCAAGGAGGGCAGGATAACTGGATCACAGACTAAATGGAGGAAAAGAGAATAAGAAGACTAGAAAGGTAGGCAGGGTAGAGAGGAAGACGAGTTATGAAAGACTTTGAATGCCAAATAGAAGACTTTTTTTATTTGATCGTTGAGGAGATAGGGAACCACTGGAGTTTATTGAGTGGGAGTAGTAATACACTCAGAACTGTGGTTTAGGAAGATCAATTTGACATCTGAGTGGTGTATTATGACGGGAGTAGGGAGAAACTTGAGGGAGGCAGTCCTACCAGCAGGCTCTTACGATAGTCCAGGTGTGAGGTGATGAGGGCCTATACCAGTGGTGGCAGTGCCAGAGAAGAGAAGGGGGCATATATGAGAGATGAGATGGAATGAAAATAAAATTAACAAGCAATGGGAATAGATTGAGTTTCGGGTGGGGGCGGGGGCTGTGACAGAGAAAAAAAGTAAGGAATAGAAGAGGTTGTAAGCCTAGGTCACTGGGAGGATGGTGATACCCTTAACAAAGATAGGGAAGTTAGGAAGAGTCAAGGGTTTGGGGAATAAGGATGAGTCCATTTTTGGACTTACTGAGTTTAAGATACCTATGGAACATCTGGTTTGAATTGTTCAATAAGTATTTGGAGATGAGAGACTGGAGGTCAACAGAGAGATTAAGGCTGGATAAATAGATGTGAGAATCATCAGCATAGAACTGATCATTGAATTCTTGAGAGCTAAAGAGATTACCAGGTGAAATAATATAGAGGAAGAAGAGCAGAGGGACTAGAATAGAGCCCTTTGAGATACCAATAAGGAGGAAGGAAGAGAGGGAGGGAAGAATCATTTGTATAGTGCTTACTATGTTCCAGGCACTGTGCAAAGTGTTTTTAGAAATGTTATCTCATTTGATCCTAAGAACAACCCTACAAGTAGGTGCAATTCTTATCCCCATTTTACAGGAGAAACTGAAGAAACTGAGACAACTAGAAGCTAAGTGACTTGCCTGGGGCAGGATTTGAACTCAGGTCTTTC